ACATCAAAATATTTCTTCATGCAAGGATAAAAGAAAAGAGATCCTGTTGCAAGACAGAGCCAGCAGAGGGCGTTCAGTTCCTGAGCCCGTTGCTGAAGGAAGCTTGGTCCGGGTCCCAATCAGGAAACAGTGAACTTGCTTTGAAACTTGCCCTGGTTGAACGATGTGCTTATGCTACTAATCTAAGCAAATATTTATTTGCATTTTGCAAAGGGGTAAATATAAAAGGCTGTTTTTGAAGACGTAACTATACAACATTCACATTGTAAACATGATGAAACTTTTAAAAGAATGCATAGACAGTCTTTCATTGTATGGGATAAAGCATTAATTTCACACAGAATACAATATTTTTGATCATTCGCATAGCAGTCCTTGAAAATTGTTTAAATGCTGTCTTCATTGTGTATATTTGAAGAGCTATAAAATTCCTTTGGACATACTTACAGAAATGAGAAATCCAGAACAAACCAGATACATATGTGAAATAATGAAGATGCTTACTTTTCTTTAAAAAAAAATTAACATTGAAAGGAACTGAGATTGGAATTGGCTACCAGCCTTTATGTGTTGGAAATTACTGCTAAACTCATTTGAGTACCATCAATTAAGAGACAGCAATAAATTTGATCTTTATAAATATGCATAAAAGCAGATAAATCACCTAGTCACCGTGAAGAATCACTGTGTGAAGATTACTTAAATAGAAAAAATATTATAACAACGATTGTTCTAATGATCTTGTAAAATATAACTGGATGTCATAATTTTCAGCCCAGACACCGAGACACAATAGATCTGAAATTTAGAATCAGGCTTCCCCATATGCAGAGTTTGCACTGATTCCATGACTTTTAGACCCTCCAACCTGCATAAGGAATAAAAGGAGATGTATTTGTCCTGGTGCTGTCGTAACAGACTACCACAAACTGGGTGGTTTAAAACAATAGAAAATGTATTGTCTCACAGTTTTTGAGGCTACAAGTCAATAATCAAGCTGTCAGAGGGGCATATTTTTTCTGAAAATTGTAAGGGAGGGTCATTCCTTGCCTCTTTAGCTTCTGGAATTTGCCAGCGATCCCATGGCTTGGAGGCACATGGCTCCAATTTCTATCTCTCTCCATATATATCCCTTTCTTCTTATAAAGACACGAGTCATTTTGGATTAAAGGCCTGCCCTACTCCAGTATGACCTCATGGTAACTTAACTGATACCTCTACAATGGCCTTATTTCCAAGTACGTTCACAATCTAAGGTACTGGGGTTTAGGGTTTTAGCATATCTTTTGCAGGGGCATAATTCAACCCATAACAGGAGGTTTCAGAAGGTGGAGAACTTTGTAAGGTTTTCAATGGGGGGAGTAGTTGCCCTCCCTCTAGAGGGGTGGGGTTGGGATTCTAGTTTCTAGTGACAAAGCCTTGAAGAGGGGAACCCAAGGCAGGGGCAGATTCATGAGTGTGTAACCCATGCAGTTGAACAGCGGCCTGTAATCTTGAGTCTCGATAATTTTCAAACAATAGGTCCTGCATTGTCATTTTGCATTGGGCACTGCAAATGATGCAAGACTCCACTCTGAGAGCTTGCTATGTGTTTCCTATACCTGTGGGGTTTGGCAGGCTGTGACCTGACTCCAGCATGGTAAAGCTGGCCTGTGACTGAATTGCAGTGACTGCCCCGCCTGGGTCAGCTTGTCTCTCAGAGTTGTCAAGTCATAAAAAATGGCCCACATGTAAAGTATACATTGTCCTCTTAGCACTACAATGAGAGGTACAGTGGCACCTTGGTTTTCAAACGTTTCCATTGAGGAACATTTCAGTTTATGAATGCCTTAAACCCAGAAGGAAATGCTTCGGTTTTCGAACACGCCTCGGAAGTCGAACATGCCACACGGCTTCTGCTGAGGGCAAGATCCTGAGGCCTGGCTGTGGGCTGTGGATCCCTCTGTTTTCAGTGTTTCAGAACTCCAACAGTCTTCTGGAACGGACTACATTCGAAAACCGAGGGACCACTGTACTGAGTGATGGGAACCTCTGAAGAACCACAAATACTCAGGAGAGGGAGCTTTAAATCTCTGCCACGCCAGGAGTTATAAAGAGACAGTTCAGTTAAGACCTTTCCTATCCTTTCACCACCCTGGAAAAATCAAACGCTGATTAACAGCCTGGGGGGGATTTGGGAGTGGGCAAGGGGGGTAAGAATGAAAAAAAGAAACTTAAGACAGTGAACTAGAGAAGTCAATGCTGCCCTATCCCACTGCAGGCTTCCAACCTAAAGCAGTCCAAGTTAGAGAAGGGGAGAAAATCTGCTATTACCAACAGATTACAAATTACGTAATGTTAGATAGCTCATAATTTTATGTATTTAAACAAATATGAAGATTAGATATAAAACACAGAATTTTCAAAGCACTACAAAGCTATTGAATTCATATAACACAAAAAGATCTCTACTTATGCTTTGCCATACCATTAAGTTGGTATGCATTCATAGGAATATAAATATAATTGCACAATGTAACAAAAGTGCAAATTTATTTAATATAATATCTGAGTCATCACACATGGTTTCTAACACAGATAAGTTGTTCAGTTAATGTTAACTTCCTCCCCATTCCTCTTTTATAATCGATGGAAGCACACAGAAATTGATTATTTTACTCTGCTTCTAGTCACCTTAGTTTAAAGCAATCAGATGTTGATTTAATCAATTGTCAGAGTCAATCTGGCATTGGACCAACTGAAAATAAATGCTAAATCTAGTGTTTGTGTAACTCAATTCTGATTTAGTAAGAATAAATATTGGTAACCAATTTGATAAAGCAATTTGAGTGGTAACTAGAAAGGGAGAAATTGTTTCGAATTCTGGTAAAAGAACATATAATCAGACTTCACTAATGAAGGCATCAGTCAAAATTTAAAATTGTGGTAGGCTGCTGTCTACAACTTTCCCCCTTTACCCACGTGGAATATGTTGTAAGGCTTCCATTGGAAGCCTGAAACCATGTATAGTACGGAAACTTATTTATACTATGGTTTTTTTCCTATTCATACATGCATATGATAAAGTCTAATTTATAACCTAGGCACAGTAAGAGATTAACATCAATAACTAATAATAAAATAGGACAATTATAATAATAAAATAAGGGTTGTTTGAATGCAAACAATGTGATAGAGTGACCATGGACGTGATAACAGAGCGCTGCCAAGTGACTGAGGAGCTGGGAGCATATACAGCCCGGATAAGCCAGACAAAGGGATAATTCCCATTCCTGGCAAGATGGAGCAGTCAGCGGGAGACTTCATCATGCCACTCAGAATGGCAAAGAATTTAAAACTTATGAATTGTTTATTTCTGGAATTTTCTATTTGACACTTTCTCATGGCAGTTTACCGCAGGTAACTGAAACCACAGAAAGCAAAACCATGGATAAGATGCACTACTGTAATTCTATTTTTTAAAAATACTAACCAGCCTTGGCTGGATGGCTCAGTTGGTCGGAGCATCATCCCATACACCAAAAGGTTGCGGGTTCAATTCCGGTCAGGGCACATGCCTAGGTTGCAGGTTCCATCTCCAGTCAGGGAGCATATGAGAAGCAACTGATTGATGTTTCTCTCTCACATCAATGTTGCTCTCTCTCTCTGAAATTCAGTAAACATATCTTCCAGTGAGGATTAAAAACAATACTAACCATGTTTGTACAAATACCTATCTTCCATGTGTGTTTCTTTTACTATTACTTTGGTTATTCTTATTTTCCATTAAAAGTATGAACATTAAAAATATTAAAGATACGATATTTTTTCCTGAATTTTATGCCACAAAGATTATATTTTATATAGTTTAAGTAAAGGAACTTCTCAAGTTTTTATATTGCTGAGTAGAACCTATAACCTTTGTGAAGAATTTCCTTTTAAGACGTTGGCTTAAGAGGTTTTCTGGGTTCCGTCATTGATTTTGCATGTTCCTCTTCCGACTTCTTGTGATTTTCAGAGAAACCCTGAATAGCAGGACTGTCACAGCAGTCCTTTCAAGAGTAACTTGTTCAGCTTAAAGGCTAGGGCTCCAGAGTTTATAAGTGATTTGTAAAGCTGACTTCCTCCGACTTTATCAGACTGCTTTGGGAAACAAAAAGACCCTGAGATCACCTTCCTTATTATACTCCCTCTTGACATTGCAGGAGGAAAAAAAACAGAGACCCATAGTATACTGAACCATGCTTATCGGAGCTAGTGGAAGAAAGCAACATTTATAGTTATGTGCTTAATAGCTCTCTTAAAACTTCAGTAATCAATGTTATAAATTATTCATACCAGGAACAAAACAATAGTGGTTATAGAATATCAGTTAGAATTAGCTAACAATGAGTCTACAATCACCTTGACATTTCTTGGATATTTTGAGAAATGTAGTCAAGCCCAGCCAAAACCATATGAGAGAGATAAGCATAGAGCCTACCCTTAATGAGCTCTCTAGAGAACACAATTCTACCACCTTCGTATTGTCAGACCCACTGACAATATTTAATAGAATTTAGGTAATGTACTTATGTTATGGAAGGAAAGATTTAAACTTCTTTATGATAAACATCATTGTCTCCAGGGTGAGGAATTGGGCATATGGTGGTAGGAACAAGGACTGTCCTTTATCGCACTCTATGCAATTTATAAACTTTATTTTGTTGAACCTCTGTGAGCGTTTTAAGGTAAGTATAGTGCAGGGAATTTGGTGCCGGCAAATAACAAGCGCTTCATAATTTAGTTTGTTAAATCGAAGCTTCACAAAAACCTTATAAAACATGTGACACTGTCCCTATTTTGTGATTGAAGGAAAGGACTCGGAGAGATGAACAAGCTTTCTCAAGATCACACAGCAGAGATCATTTGAAAAGTGTATCTGATAGGAAAACTCCCACAGATCAATCTGCTATACTGTGACATTTTTTTGTTTGTTTTTAAGAAGATATTACTTTATTAGCTGAATTTTATATTTTCAGGTGTTTTCTTATACCGCTGACAAAGAAATCCGAACCGATGACTTGTGCTTGGATGTTTCTAGACTCAATGGACCTGTAACCATGTTAAAATGCCACCATATGAGAGGAAATCAGTTATGGGAGTATGATGCTGAGGTATAGTATTTTCCTTAACTTATTTTTGAGTGCTTTAACTGAATTAATACAAGGTGGGACAAAAGTAAGTTCACAGTTGTGAGTACCTGAAACAATGGGTTTATTCTTGTATTATTATTTATTAATTATTGTACTATTTTCCATGTGAACAACTGTAAACCTACTTTTGCCTCGCCCTGTATTTCAAATACATTTAAACCCTAACTTATTTTTTTCTGCATCGTAAGAATTGCACTTTCAAAAGCATGCATGCTCATATAGGATGATATTAGGATGGTATGTTATATAAATAGATTTTTGCCAAACTAGTCCATAAGTATAAAATATAAACGAGAAACATAAAGTCATTTTTATGTGCTTAACATTTGTTATCATGCATCCATGCTCAGCAGAAAGGTGAAGGGCAGACTATGCTTATCTGAGAGGTGTGTCTGCAGATGTACAACAATATTTTCATATCTTGAATTTTACACTGTTTAATCTGTAACATTTATGCTTCTCACCTTAAAGGGAAAAAAGCAAAAAGCTGACAAGATTAGCTTAAAGATTCTTTATAATAGTAAATACTCTGCAAAATTCAATAAACTAATTAGGTACATAATCAGCTAAGCAGCATCTTCTCAATATAGCACATCTTTCTGAGAGAAGACAGGGAGAAAAAAACGATAAAATTACTGTTGGAATTTATAGCCAGGCAGTGTGTAAAAACCAGATCAACCATCAGATGGAGCTAATAAAAAAGAAATATTTTCCTCTGCAGAAGGAAGCCACCTTGAAACAACTTCATTTCCTTCACTTCTCTTTGCTTAACAAAATGAATTTGTAGTCTGGGTTACATTTTCCACGTTATTAAATGGTTGGTGATTTATTTAAGATAGGAAGTAAACTTCGTTCTTACATGATAAATAACACAATAGAGGTAAATGAATTTCACAAGTGCAGAGTTCTATGAAAGTTTAAAATTCTCTGCAAGGGGAACATTTTCAAAACCAATCTGCAGAGTTGTTGATATTATTGATACTTTAACAAGGTCTTCTTTTTAAAAACTTTTGGAGTGTCATTTTAATTTGCATGATGTTGTCATTTTTTAAGTGGACTATCAGGAAAACTGCCTGAATTCTTACATGATGTGAAACTAGTTACACAGAGTTAAACGTTGGTCCTAAAGTTGATATAAAATTACCGAGCCCTCTGATACAACCCCCTCTTCTGGGACACAACTGAGGCAAAGCCCCTGGATGAAGCCTGCCCGCTGGCCCAGCTGCTCCGCTCAGCTCCCCTCCCAGTGCCTCGCACCGTCTTTACCGGCCACCCTTACTGTCCTCTTCGGCTGTTACCTCCCTTTATATCAAGGCTGCAGGAAACCTTTCCTCTGATAAGACGTCGGAGTAAATCTCAGCCTTTCTTTGGTCAGTTTCCTACTGCTTCTGTGAGGAAAAGTACAGACAAATGGACAGAAAAAGGAGAAACTCTGAAAGAAATATTTTTTAAATAAAACGTTTTGTTGTTGTTGTTGCATTTTTAGTTTTCACTAGGATCCCATCACTTTATTGGGCATGTGCTAAAATAAAGAAATCTAGCTCCCAGCCAGGCATGGCTCAGCGGTTGAGCATTGACCTAGGATCCAGGCGATCGGGGTTCGATTCCCGGCCAGGGCCCATGCCCGGGTTGCGGGCTCGATCAATGACTCTCTCATCACTGATGTTTCTATCTCTCTCTCTCCCTCCCTCTCCCTTCCTCTCTGAAATCAATAAAGATATATCTTTAAAAAAAAGAAAGAAAGAAAGCTAACATATATTTATAAGAAAAGGGTATACATATTTTTTATGACAGAGCATTGTTGAATTTTAGAATGTACCACTCTTAATCTTTAAACTTTTATATAATTTTTGAGTGGATAATGGCTTTTATAGTCATGACTAAGATTCCTTCATTTCTGAAATAACTATTGTTGATAATTATGTATGTGTTCTTATTTATATTTCTATCAGCCAATAGGAAGATTATTGAATACTAAGGGATTTTGAAAAAAAAAGTGGAAAAAAAAAATTGGATAACCTCCCCTAAGATAAAGAAATGATTTTTGTAAATTTACTGTTTGGATGAGTAAGAGTTATCTGTTGCAGTACTTTTAGATTATTGTAATATTTTGTATCACATAAATTTTTTTCTACAACACATACAAATAAAGCTTATACTATGTCATATATATTGAGAAATGTTTATTTTTAAATAAACTTTCCAATCATCTTAATAATTTTGTAACATAGCTTAATATGTTGTCTTACATGTTTAGGTTTTCAAAATTAAATTGTGATATTCAGCTTGTCTAAATTTAAAAATTTAAATCATAATGCAAGTTTTTTGCCAAATTTATAATGTATAAATCACAATATAGAGAAGTCACGAGAGAATAGAATAATTATAGGAATGAGGCATTTATTGCCTTTCTGGAAATTTCAGCTTTGAAATAAAAGACATATTATTTGTGAAAAAGTCAGGAAAGAAAGAAATGGCTTTTTAAGTAAAATGGAAATATAATTTACTTTTTACTATTACCTCTTCTTTTAAATTTTAGGATAAGGGTCACTTTAGTCTACAGAACAGTCCCAATCTTTGCTACCCAAAGTGTGATTCTAGGACTAGTAACATCACCTGGGAACTTGCTAGAAATTAGGATCTGAAGTAGCACCCTGGATGCACTAAATCAGAGTCTGCACTTCAACAAAATCCCCAAGGCATCCGCATACATATTAAAGTTTGACAAGGACAGGCTTAGACAGTGGCCAAACTACTTGTCTTCCTTAGGCTTTTCATAGACTGTTGCAAAGTATTGCAAAGCTAGGAAAGGGCAGGTGCACACTTCGGAAGATGACAAGGCTTCCCGGAGAGGTGGGGAGGGAGGCGAGCCGAAGGGTGAGGGCGCCGAGACTGGAAGGAGTAACTGCCAGGTAGCTCTCGTCTTTTCATATTCCAGCCAGTGAAAAGTAGACAAGTGCTGCTTGCTGCTGCTTTAATTTATTCTTTACCTCTTGCTACCAAAGGCAAAAGTATTCTTTGAGAAACTTCTGAGGTGGAGCAGTTTCAAAGCCGAATGAAACTTGGTGGAGTTCAGAGAATTACAGAGCTGAGACTTACCTTCAAGATCTTCTTTGAGCCTTGATCGGGGGGCTCAAAAGCACAAAGATCACACCGCCAGCTGTGAGGCAGGATTTAGGGCCTAATAAAGTATTCAAAGAAAGCTGGTTATCACTGCAATTGTGCAGCTCACAGTGTGAACAGCTGAAATACCCCGTCACGTTATCTCCTGGAGTCTTTTCAATCTTAGAAAAGCAAGTCATAAATAGGAGCAGACTTGTGGGAGTATGGGAGAAAAATGGAAACAGCGTTGCAGAGCCTCAAAGCATGGAGCCTATTTAGCTACTTTGGTTTGTTTATTTCTTAGGTGACTGGGGGGTAGGGAATAGAAGGGAATAAAGTTTACCGAGTGGCTATAATTTCATCTGTCTTCTCAGGCAATCCTAACAATAGCCCTATAAGATGATAATATAGTATTTGTATTCGCATTAGTAAACATCAGCTTAGAGTTTTTAAATGCCCTCTCTGGGTTTGTACACTTCAGGTTTCCCGCACTTAACCGAGCAGTCTTTCTACTCTATTACATTCCTTTGGAGGTCATTGAAAAACTAGAAACAATTAGATGCTTTTAATGATGATGATCTGATAAGTTAAATGTACAGTATTAGAAACGAAAGAAAGAAATACCATCAGTTATTTGTGATAGCAAATTGGATTCACATAGAATTTCTCCTTAATCATTGGAAAGATGTTCTGCAGTAAGTGTCTATTGAGACAAACAGGCAGTCATGAAACTACTTTTTCTGTAGGTCTAATTGCTTACAGATTTTAGCTATCGATATTCATAAGACAGCTAGTATCTAATTGCTTCTACTTTTATTTGAGTGAAATAAAGCACACGTTGGTAAAAAATTCATGTCTTTGGTCAACTTTGATTTAAAATACAGTGTCCTCCTTTCTTAATGAAATACTTTTAAAATAACACAGCCATGGATTTAATTCAGTATCACCTAGTCCTGGCCAAATGTATTCGATTCGGAGGCAACTGAGCATCATTAGCAAACCTGCAAAATCCTCACCTGATCTAGAATCTCTCAAATAAACTACCTGAACACTCTGGTGCTGTGAAAGCCCACTGACTCAGAGTTAGGACAAAAAGGAAAAAGAAAAAACTAAACCCTACCTCTCATCTCACTGAAGCATTTAAAAAATTATTTTATAAAGGTCTGTCAGTCATCCTTTCTATTTTATTCAGGTTTTCTTATATTGTACTTGAACATTGCAGTTGTGTTCCAGTCCATTTGAAAATCACATTTTCCTGCAATAAGTGCACATAATCACAGTTTCTTTTGAACATCCAGGCAGCTACATACAGTGTGATGATCTAATTTTAGAGCAGAACACTTATGCTCAACAAACACTAAGCAACACAATAAAAAAAGGAGCAAAATATGATGCTAAAAATAAGTCTTGTTTTTCATGTGACTGAGCAAATTGACTGAGAAAATATTGTTATGAATTCAACATCCATCTGTATCAAATGCTTCAGAGTCACAATGCAAGGGATTTCTTTTTAAGTAGGTAAAATACGTTGGATTGCTATTTACTGATATCACAGAAGCTAATGTGTAGACTTTACTTATTACCTCTTTTATTTACCTTATCAGAAAGCAGGTAAATGGGAATATAATTTCAAGGTAAGTGATCTATTAACTGGCAACCCAGCCACTTCCCTGCATAGCATTCCCGATAAAAACAGTTGCTCGATTTGCTTTCCGAAGCCTGCCTGTATCAGACAAGTGCTACCTTTCCATGTGCCCACTGACCCATAGCTGTGGTTTCTTATATAGAATCAATTAGTGAATAGCAAGTTTAATAGTTTAGTATTGCGATTTTAGTTCTTGCTTATTAAACGTTTACACTTGTTTATTAAACTACTCTGTGCAAAGATCACTAACATGCACAGTTCACTTTGTCAGGGGATCATATTTAACATTTTGAATAACAACTTTATTATATTAATTTTAAATAGCTTATTCTGTACTTGATCAATAGGGGAAATCCTATTGTATTTGCAATAATAATAATGTTAAATTAAGTATCTGTAACAGTCTAAATTTATCTTACTTTGTTTATCCTTATGTATAATAACAATCATTTAAATTTCATTTTAAACTTTTAGTATAGCATCTTTTAAACTGAGACTGTATGATTGTTCCTCAGTCAACCATACAGTCACTTATACTTGTTCATTGAAATATCAAAATTTTTACTTAATTATTTTAACACAAGGGTAAAAGGTGTTTCTAATTTTATAATTTGTGATTCTTATTTTGTCACTGAAATTGTGTCCCCAGCCTGATTTCATTGGTTTTCAGGAGTCATTGTATCTCCAAAAGGGTAGATTTAGGGATGCTCCATGACATATCTTGTCTTAGATGCAGACATGCAAATATGTTTAAAGGAGGAAGTATTCATTTTTTCTTATGCATTTTAAAGTAGTATGATTAAAATTTTATAAATCCCAGGAAATGCTAATTCTTTTTACTTCAGAGAAGTACAGCTAAGTTGTGCTATAATATTAACGAAAACCAATAGTAGCTTAGTGTTCATATTACCTTGTTTTCAAGGGAATATTTTAAATAAAGCAATAGGAAGAGGCATTTGGCACTATGCTGCATGTCAGCGTGTATAGCACATTGCCTTCAAAACTGAGTTAACATGACTGAGTCTTCTAAAGTTGTGAGAAGCATTTGCAACAAATATGACAAAGAGCAATTTTAAGAAAAAAAAATGTACACACAACATAAAAATATGCAAGTTCTTGAATAAACAGCAGAGGAGAAATGTAAATAGCCAATAAAAATGGAAAAAAGTAATTTAAGTAACTATTAAAAACACATACTTAAAAATTATTCCACGTGTTTTCTTTTATCCACTTCTTTATATGTGGTGTCAATCTGTCAAGGAATGTTTTTAATGACAACACACAATACTGGTGCAGATGCAGTAAAACTGACAACCACTACTATCCTGCCATATGATAAGCACAAGAAATATTTGCTGCCGCTGTTATTACAAAATAATTATTATAGATTTTTTTAAACTTTACTAATAAGTATTGCATTTTTTGTACTTTTGACCTTGTGATTTCACTTCTAAAAATTATTTCTAAAGAAATGGTTATAAATGTCGAGAAAGACGTTGAGAGGTACTTATCAAAGAATTCTTTATAGTAGGTCCAAACTGGACAGAGATTACCCCCAAATGAAAAAGTTAAAAGACTTTTGGCAAATCTACTTTGTAGAAATTGTTTATTCCCTATGTTTTTAGATTATTTTAATGATAAGAGAGATGCCTATAATATAAAGTCAAGGATGTTTAATTAGGTTACTTCTATTACATACATTTGCATAATATAAGTGTTAAAAATGACTTACTAGAAAATATGAAGTAATAATTGGTATCTCTTTTAGGCAAAATATTCAGAAAAAATAAACTAAGCTATTTTTTCAAACAAATGAAAACACTGAATGGTTTGGTGGGAGGATTTTTAATAAAAAATAATTTTTATCTCAATGGGGTTGTTTGAGATTTCTAATTTTTCTTAAAAGCGCCTGGCGTGAAAGTTCTTTGAATTCATGTTATGGTCTTTCAAGTGATAAATATTTTGGGGCAAAATATTACAAAAGTATTTCTTATGGAAAATTTTATATTGTATCCATGTTCTGGAGTTACATTTCCTGAGCATAAGTAAAATCTAGTTTTATGTTTGTTTCAAACCAAGGAAAAGTTTATAATCTTTTTTTAATGATGCATGAAGTTCATAATCACTTAATACTGGGGTCTTTGATGTCAACATGAAATTTACCAAGAAAAGTTCACTGAAAAACAAAAAATCACTGAGGTAGACGATTATCAAACCTAGAAATTTTAAACAATATAGAGAGGAAATTCAAGTTTTGCTTAAAACCCCCAAAACTAGTTTCTTTAACAAATCAAACTATATACTGTTACTTCACAAATAAAATTTATTCTATGCAATAATGTTATCTTTTCTAACTTCATAAATCTTCAAACTACCCTTTTACTGTAGAAAGTCAGTCCTTGAAATGGAAAATACAATGACTTGCGTCCATTAGGCTGCTCAATATATGTAGTTAATTTTATCAAAATTTATTTCCTGCACGAGCCTTTCACTAAGTGGTTTAATCAACAAACCTACGGAGTGCCTAGGTTTGGTGATGTAGGCAGTCATGGTCCCTGGCCTTCCTGGAGCTCTGCTCCTTCTGAGGAAATAGATGGAAAACAAGACACAGACAAATTAATTACCAATTTTGTTTGGAGAATGAAGTGAAATTAAGAGCCCAAATGGCATTGACCTTTTAATTTTTCCTTCTTTCGTTAACTTCCTAATTGACATTGAGATGTGTGGCAGTCAGTATATATGTGGAAGACTCTTCACACACCAGGTTAGCCCTGCGACAAGGTAGTGGAAACAATGTGAGTACAAAGTAAAGCCAAGCCTTAGAGCTAAATCATCCCTAGATTTCCCCCCGGCCTTAGCAGCAAAGGAGTGGAGCCAAGGACCATGACTGAAAACTGTGAGCTAGTCAGCGGTTTGGAACACCCATGCTTACAAAATAATGCTCGTAACGCTGACAGCATCCAGTTACTAGCATGAACACTGAGAATATCATCCTTTCTCTCCAAAATTTTCATCGTTCGACCTCTGGCTCTTCTCCAGAGTCTCAGTCCTGTCTTCATTTACTCCTGCCAAATACACGTGACACTGAAGCCACCTGAACGGATGTGGCTCACAGCTCCACGGACGCAATCATTGTGACGTGTGCTTTCCATTCTGACCTAGTACAAATTGTACGTTGTCGAGAACGATCGGTTGATTACTGCCTTTGTACTTGGTTTTGTCATTATTCATTATTTTCTTTGTCAAACAGACCCACACCCTCCTTCATCTAAACACCCAGGCCTGTCTCTCAGTAAGAACAGAAACTGATGGCTCCCAACAGCCCACTGTGGAAATATGTAAGGATAGCTCTTTGCAAAAGTGGCTACTAAGAAACTATACAAGAGCGGAAGTTTTTAGAAATATTTTTGAGAATCCTACTGATTACGTTCTCTAATAATTTTTGGAGGTTTGTGTTGCAGAGTTCATTAATACCAGTTTAGTATTTTTGTTATTGAAATCTAGAAACTTCTTTAAAATGCGATTAAGAAAGATCTTTGTGTGCTATATTTCTCCAGAGTTGTTTTTCTTTTACTTCTTAGCAGCTCCGTAATTTGGGGTGTGCATATATTAAGTAGGGTCTAGTCTGTAATTAATTAATAGGTATTTTCTAGTTGTTTCTTTATTTCAAATACGTATGCATAAATAGGCTAACTCTAGCCACGACTATAAGACAATAGATTTTGCATTAGTGCTGAAAAAAAATCAATAAGAAAATTATCGTAGCTAAAAATGGATTTCGTTTGGAACATTGAAATTATTTAATTTTGTTAATTTTAATTCATATACTCTGATTGTGTGCAGATACAGCATATCCTTTCTGGACTTTATTACTTTAAGCTGAAATGTTAAGCAAATGCATTATTGAAGACTAAGATTATTGGTTAAATGATATAATTATAATAAACCTTTTTTAAAAAAATGTACCTTTTATCTCTTACTTGTATGATTTGTGAATATCTCCTCAGTAACCAATAAAATGAATCATTATCTAATTTAATTTTTAAAAATAACTGGTATAGAACTCTCGTAAAGAGTGCGATTAAGAACATGTCCTAGTTCTTTATCTTAATGCGTTTATTGTCTTGTAAATAAAGTATATTGCATTTTTCAGTACCTTGCTATCAGAACCCAGGGGAAGTTAGGGAGTTTTCCTGGTTCAGATGGAGCCGTTAAAGGCGGTTAGTGGAGGACACGGTGGGGCGTGGCATGCTCATGGCGCGGCCGGGGACAGGTACAGAGAGGAGAGGGAACAAGGGTGTTGTTTAGACTAGAAATGCATCGGAGACGCGGGCAGTGTACAGACGCATTGGGAAGCTGGAAAGGCCTGCACCTTTTGCACAGTGAGAGCTTGTATATAGAGCAATTTACATGTATTCTCTTAGTCTGTTTTTAAAGCCACCTTAAGCGGGAGATGGAACTGCCAACAATGGGCCTCGTCTTCTCACACTTCACATGCCGTCTCCCAGGGCAGGGCCGGTTCTAGGGCAGAACCCACAGCTTGTTTCTCAGCGGCATTTGCATGGCTTCCCCCAGAGGCCCACAGTGCTTATGGGAGCCGGCTTCTGTCCAGGAGAGCCCTGTGCAGGGGGGCGGGAGCCGCATCAGGGGGGCGAGGCAGCGACCTGGAATAACAGGGCCCAATGCCTCGCGGGGGACAGTGTCTCTAATATCTCCACGGGCAGAGCTTCACGTAAACGAGTGGGACCTGTGAAACCTCAAGTCTGCACTTAGAGAAGCCCACAGGGTGGCTCCCTATCAGGTATTTGTAATGAAGTCGGTTAGATGCAGATACGGTTTATCAATCAGAGGTCATTTTTACCATAAGCAGTGTTGCCTAGAAACATAGTTGACATTTTACCCTTACCAGGTTGCCAAGGAATCACAGTTAAATAGTTGACTGAAAGTCAGATTTTTTAAGCAGAAAAAGAAAGGGCATTTATAAGTATTTGTATGTGTAACTGAGCATTTTCGGACGAAGAGTATGATTGCTCAGAATACTTTCAAAACTTGCCCAAGTTTTCACAGCCAGTAAGTGGGGGGAAGAAGGGTAGGAATTTACACTTAGGGCTGTGTGACCCTAAAATGTCTGCTATTTTTACTGCACGACATTAAAATTGAGAGAGTTTTCTTTGGTTGCTTATCTTTCCAGTTGTGGTTTTTGACTACTAATGAATCCCTTCAAAGAAAATATTTATACATTTTTAGAAAGAACAACACTAATATTTTTAAAGTATCCCTATTTATGTAGTTGACAACACATATTCATTTTGATCCTTAAAGTCATATACTTTTTTTTTTTTAAAAAAAAGGATCTAATAGAAACAAACAAAGGTAAGTAGCTTTTTTGAAAAAGGGCATCTATACACAAAGGGCCTCAGGTATGTAACAACAGTGAAGAATATTTTGTTGATTTTTAACTAAAACTTGCTAGAAAAAATTGTTTGTTTTGTGTTGAATTTTTTTTTAAGTTGGTTGTTGGTCCATAAGCCAACAACATGATTTCTGGCATCCTAAGCATGTATCAAGTACCTTCTTGCCTATCTTTGGCCATTTTTTCCTCCATTCTTTTGTATCGATAGCTTGATTCTGTGTATTAAAGGAGCAACAGCAAGGGCCTCAGTCTTGGACTCTTCACATCTGACGACCTTGCTCTACTATTTCCTGCTTGTTGTCTATTAAGCTCCCTCCACCGCAAGCTTATTTTCCATTCCATCTTTTCTCAGGACACTTCAGGGTGTTCGCAGGCTTAATCCAAACAAATTACTACTGTCTGGGCAGTGTTTCTCCACCATTTTTATTGCATTTTTTTCATCCAACTTTCGATTGTAATATCATGAGCCAAAATAGATAGTCTACCTTTAATTTTGGTGATTTCAAACAAGATACACCTGCAAATCGCCTCATGGGTTCAGATGCTCCTCCTCAGGTTGGGAACTTTTTTATATACTATGGTTCTAGGCATTGCCCATGAAGCTGAGCAAAAATGTGCATGATGTGTGTGCATCAATTAGTATAAGGCATGTGGACTTAAAATGTTTATCTGTAAAGTCCACAATATGTAATGTCAGAATGTAAATGTGAACTCAAAAGAGAAGATGTGTAATGACTGGCTAACATGATGCAGTTTTGGGAATTACATTTCAGCATTTGGGTACTGAGAGGATGCTTATTAATGAATATTGTTATTATGAAAAAAATTAAATATAGATATAAATTTTAAAATGTATGTCCATCACATCCCTGTTTTAATTTGGTTTTAATTTTTTTAAAGATTCTCAGAAATGCAAACCAAATGATGGTAAGCGTACTATCGAGTAAGACAGATCTTCGCTGTGATAATCACTAATACAATGAATTTGTCAGTCACGGATACTATGGCCTGTTTGGTATTTGGAAATGGGAAGATCTCTAGCAGTTTTTTCATTTGGGTCACAGCTGTGACATCTCTTTGCATGTTTACCAAATGGTTACTGAATAACACATGCCGAAGAAAACTCAGCTTTAGTGAAAGCTTGTTAATATTTACAGCCCTCCGCTAAACTCGGAGCTCACAAATGGGCTTTTTTGCAAAGGAGCCTGAGTTCTTGGCAATGCACAATGCATGTTGGCTAATTTCTTTAACCATCTGCAAATAAAGGTGTATTAGACAATGATGAAACCGTGGCCGTGAAAGCTGTGTAATAATTAATTCAGAGCCACCTGTGCACAGTTCCTTTTATAAACGTACCATAGTGCTTATACTAAAAAGAAAAATCATAAAGGTTTTTTGAAAGGGCAGATTTAATCTGATGTGCTAGTGAAGTTAAAGATTAAATACATTGCGCTGATTATTGGTTATCTTTTGCAGAGACTCACCTTGAGACATGTTAACAGTAACCAATGTCTTGATGAGCCTTCGGAAGACGACAAAATGGTGCCTACGATGCAGGACTGCAGTGGCAGCCGGTCCCAGCAGTGGCTGCTAAGGAACATGACTCTGGGGGCATGAAGACTGCTTCCCCCGAGCCGTTCAAGTGTCTACACTTTTGTTTTTCCATTATTTCAATTAAGGAAAAATATTAACTTTGCTGAATTGAAAGTTTTAAAATCCTTTTAGTATTCTAAAACACAGTTGTTTATAATTCATTTTTAGGAATGTTTGCTTATTTCCCTACGAAAATTTGTATCTGATCAAAAGCACATAAAAAATATAAATAACAGCAAACTGTTATTAAACATCTGAAGAACTAAAAAAAAAAAGTGTTTGCTTTAAAAAAATATTTATTGCACTCATGTCACAGGATTAGTTGGGGGGGCAGTATTTTTATTTTTTATTTTCATAGTGATTGAAAGAAAAATAATGTAAATGCCTTATGAAATAGTATCATTTTATAAACTCNAGGATTAGTTGGGGGGGCGGTATTTTTATTTTTTATTTTCATAGTGATTGAAAGAAAAATAATGTAAATGCCTTATGAAATAGTATCATTTTATAAACTCACTCTGTTTCTACTGGACCTTCATGGAACCATGTTGAATTTCTATGTCAACAGCACACCACACATTGAATTATTTCTGAGCAATGAATTCATCGTACAAAGTTCCACGTTTTGTACCAAAAAAAAAAAAAAGAAATTAGATATTGACTTATAGAGTGCTTATAAAAGCATCACATTTAAACAAAAAAAGAGAAGAATTTGAAAATTCAATTTAAAGGACATGAAATCAGAAGAAACAAAGTAGGTGTTGAAGTTAAACAGGCTGTGTTTAACAATCATATTGGTTCCAGAGTTGAAGCTGGGAACTCAGTCCTTAACCTCTGTCTTTGCCTCACGTAAACCATACAGTCCGCTTTCTCTTCCCTTTAGAGACTGACTTGTCTCTTACACTCTACAGAATTGTAAGTAAAAGGTGGAGAGTATTAGCCCTGATATTTAATTACCTTCCATTTAAAGATTTTAGTTAGGTCACTCTTACCATTTTAATTTATATTTTAAAAAATAATGCATTGCTATCAGAATTTCATTGTTATGCTAGAATATCTAAAGTTTTCATCACCAGGGGAATGAACTCAATACACATCCATGAAACTTTTATTTTAATTAAACTGTTAGATATCATTTGCCATAAGTTATGGCTCAAGGAGCACAGTCATAATTAGACTGGCTCCACACATTCTTTTTCCATCTTCAAGCCCTTTGTGTTCAAAATGCATGAGCAGAAGACACAAAAAAGGAGAATACTCTATCAGTGAGAATTGAGCTAATAACTTAGAGTATTTCACACCATTTAAAATGTACTCGCCTGGCCAGGTGTGGCTCAGTGGTTAAGCATCAACCTAGGATCCAGGAGGTCACAGTTGGATTCCTGGTCAGGGCACATGCCCAGGTTGCGGGCTCGATTCCCAGTCAGGGGCGTGCAGCAGGCAGCCGATCAACGACCCTCTCACCATTGATGTTTCTATCTCTCTCTCTCCTCCTTTCCCTCCCTCTCTCTGAAATCAATAAAGATATATTTTTTAAAAATAATAAATAAATAAAAATAAAATGCCCTTAAAGTTGCTCTACACATGTATTTTATTCATTAATAAATACATTCAGCAGCTAAGATAAATTTGGAGGAAGAAATGGAAGAAGTGTCCTCTAGAGTAGATGCCGTATCTTTGGGTTTCATCTTTTCTAAAAAAGCTCTGTCTGTTAGGCTATAAGCAAATTCTCTCTCTCTCTCTCTCTCTCTCTCTCTCTCTCTCTCTCTCTCTCTCACACACACACACACACACACACACACACACACACACATTGCTTTATAATGAAAAGGAAGGCCAGTAAAATCTTGTATGACTTTTCCTGCTAGCATTAGCATTATTTCCTCTTTGTCTTGACACTGGTAGAACTCTCAGGAAGAATTCTACAACCTAGAGCATTTCAGATTTACTTAAAGTGTAGACCTCCCTCACCTCGAGGTCTCTGGGAATCCCCAAATCTCTTAAACTTATACACAAAAGCTTGAGTGTTTATTTTTAGCAGCAGTAGGGAATCCGTTGTTTACAGGAAATGTCTTAGGAAGCTGTGACACCCCAGAGCTAGCGAACTTCTGCCTTAGGTTCATAGTGGACTCACAAGTCAACTGAGGACCCTTTTTTTCTCCCCTGTTCCTCTTGTCCTGACTAAATTAGGGTAGAAT